ATAAAACATATTAAGGATTGTACATTAACATAAAACTGTTCAGTCAAACAAGAAGCTGGACTTAGCGACCTGCTCAGACTCGTCATCACAGAATACATGAGAACGAGCTCGTCCTAACAGCAGTCACTGACAGGTGAGACCTTTACTAACACCTCTTGAAAGTTTTGAATGATGATAATGTTTCAGGAGAAAAAAACCTGCGTAATTCCCATTTTACAAAGCTTGTAGTCCAGCCTGTAATTCTTACCCTCGTGTATTTTCTCCTCAAAGCTCAAATTTGTGGCCTTCCTGTAATGTAATCCTGTATCTGTCATCTTTATCCTTCTGCTGCTCGGAGCAGCGATCTGCTGCTGCAGAAGTGAGCTGCACATTTCATTTCTTTTGTTTTTATTTAAACTATTGAAAAATATAAAACTAAATAGGAACGAATTTCCCAGCAGTCGGGAGTTTTTGGGGAAGCTGTGAGAGGGCTGAATGACACAGCTTTAGAGCTTTCATTTACAATTAATATTAGGAAAACATACAGTTGATATCAAATGTTAAAAAAGTATAAATCCAATATCTTGGTTACATTTTCCAGTCACCGGCATGCAGCCAGTGTCAGCCGCTCCTGCTCTTTTCTTAGTGTTTTACTCAGTATTGGAGTGTTGGTTTGTTCCCCTTAAACGAGTGGGTTGAGACAGTTTTGGTTCTCCTTGATGCTGAGGAACTGTTACTTTCATTGAGGAACGTGGCCGCGGCGCAGCAGATACACACTGCACGCTTTGTGATTGCCCTGATGGCGCCGGTGTTCTGACAAACCATCCTACTTTGGCAAAACGTCCTGCCGTAAGTAGTTTATGCACATTTCTGCTGTCACAGAGTAATTTCAGCACCAATTTAAGTAGGTATGACGGTTTGCCACTAACTTTGCCCATCAGAGTATGTTTGTAGCTCATATTCATAAAGCCAGGATGGTTGGCCAATTCATAGGTCATAGGTTGTAGGTCACATTCACAAAGGTAGCGTGGTTTGGCACTGAATTTTACCCGTCAGAGTATGTTTCTAGCTCTTATAAACAAAGGTAGGATGATTTGGCACTGAATTTCGTGTTGTGCGCATGCGCAGAAATAACGGGTGGGATGGTTTGTCAGGTAGGATGGATTCCCAGAACACCTGTTGTGTCAGCAGACTCACGGCTGACATCAGGAGACTAACACATCGCAGGTATAGAATGATCAAGTGCTGATTCTGGTTAAAACACTGCTTTACTGAGTGTGCACTGAGGCGTCCATCAGTCATAACACAACAACAGAGAAAACAACTTTACGATCCTGCTGCTAAACAGCGTGCTGCTGTAAAAGTACTGCAGTGATGTAAAGCTGTGTCACCTCGGCGTATTGTACCCATGAACATAAACCCCTATACGACTTCTCCTCCCTTTTTCCTGTTATTGTGAATTTAAAAAAACACAAAAAGTAACCACAGCATGTTAGTCGTGGGTTTGTCTCATAAGGGAATGAAGCTGAAGTTAACCAAGGTCACTTGAAGAGCAGTTGAAGTGCTGCTGGAGTGGGTGCAGTATGACTCCCTTAAAACTCTCTGAGGTCCCGGGTATAATCAGCTGTTTTTGACTACTTCTGATTTTGCATTTCACCTTTAAAAGCGGTTTCCTCGCCTTGTTTGGTGTCATTGTTTGAGCACAACCTCACAGGTCTGAATTTACTGTTATTTTTTCATTTTAACTGTATTAAGAAAAATGAAAACAAAACAACCTTTTAACAGCACAAATTTTGCAAACAGCAAAGTTACAACTCTTTACCTTAAAAATGGAGGCAATACATATTTTTTCTTTATCATAATTCTGGTTTAGGGGCGTAAGGGTTAGTTAATCTACACATGCTGACATGGAGACTCAGTGTGGCAGCATTTTGTTGCTGTGGCATCTTTAAT